CAACTTCGCATACAAACTGAAGTAAGGTGTATGTGAACAAAGGGCAAAGAATTTAAAAGTTCCCTCTGAGGGTTTATACTATTTTACCTTGTCTGTTGGTTGTCCACGTTCCTTGTAGTACTGGAAATTTACTCCATCGTTACTGTATTGCAACTTGTATGTGGTTACACGTTGTACGCTATAAGAGAAATCTCTTCCTTGAGTGGCTACTCGCGTTATCCTGGTGTACCTCTTTCTAAAACCCAAGACATCGATCTGCAGCCACTGATCGGCATTGTTTACTCCAGCTGCCCAGGCTCCTGACAGCTCCCCGATAACTTCTCGAAAATTTAATCTTCCCTGTTGCACAGAATGATATGCATCCCACTGCGAAGAGGCACTGAGTTGTGAATCCGCAATTGCACCGCTTTCCATTCCAAGGGCATCCTGACATTCTACCATGAAAAAGACAACTGGTCCTGCTTTCATTTATACTGTCATTGTCATTGTTATTGCTGTTGCTATTGCTATTGTTATAGTTATGGTTATGGTTATGGTTATGGTTATGGTTATTGTTATTGTAATTGTTATCGTCACAGTCATTATCATTGCCATTGACATTTTCATTATTATTGTCATGGACAATGACATTGACATTGTCATTGTCATTGTTATTGACATTGACGTTGACATGGACATTAAAATTTTCAATGCCATTGTCATAGCAATTGCCTTTGCCGCTGACATTTTCATTATCATTGTCATTGTCATTATCATTCACAATGACATTGACCTTGTCATTGCCATTGCCATTGCTATTCACGTTGTTATTGTCATTGGCATTGTCATTGACATTGACATTGACATTGTTCTCAATGCAATTTACGAGGTACCACCACTCTTTATAAAACTGGAAAATCCGTTTAAAGCCACGCCTTGCTTGAGCACCCAAAAATGTCTTTTTCATTTCATTCAGTGTATTTGTATTCTTAGTATAAAGGGAATTTTTTGACAAGCCTCTTACGTACCTTGAGCACAGCCATATAACTCTATCCTCATGGAAATATGGTTCTGCCATGTCAAAGGTCGGAAACGGATGTAACGCGCCCTAATAGGTGGATCCAGCTCGTGTGAAACCACGGTGTCTGGGTTTGTATTTCCTGTGAAAACCTTCAGCGAGAAGGGAAAAAAGAGAAAACCACCTTATGAACATTGACAGCTGCTTTGCACAAAATCAAATATCCAGCAAACGCATCAATAAATTCGAAACAGCGTGTTAAAACAAATCCATAAACAAAGTCAGTACAGGAAAATAAAAAAAGTTTGTCATAGTACAACCATAGGCACGAGAAAACCAAGAGTTGAGCCTCGTGTGGATGAAATCCTTCCTCCCCCTGACCTGTCAAAACAGCTAAGCTCAAAGACATCCCCCCCAAAAAGAAAATTTACATTTACTCATGAATGTCCGTCAGAATATCCAGGAACACTTTCTCCAATAAGCTTCCCTCCTCCCCACCTTCGATTCCCTTGGTTTTGCAAACTGAGCAACGTCCCTTTGAAGAAAAGGTTAGCACATCATTACAAATGTAAAGCTTTTTTTTTAACATTTAGGCCCACGTTTTTCCAGCATCCCATAATTATGTTGGTCAAAGCTTTGTTTCTGAATTAAATTTGTTTTACTTTGTCAGCAGCCTGTCCTTGTGTCCTGTAGTAATGGAAGTGCACTTTATCATTGCCATACTCAAGCTTATAGGTGGTAACCCACTGGTCACAACATGCATATCTTCCTTGTGTTGCTATACGTGTTACTTTGATGTGCTGTCCACCTAGGTCAATCTGGATCCACTGGTTACCATCATTAACTTGGGCTACCCATGCTGCACTATGCAATTTGAAAAATAACCTTCCATAACTTGCGAGATGATAGGTACTCCATATCGTTGATCCCGTAATTTGCAATTCTGGTATTGCACCGTTCGCCATGCCAAGAGGTTGATGACATTCTAAATTTTTTTGGATTAGGAAAACGAGTTTGCTTCAAATATTTGCCTATTTTAGATTTATATTTGTTTTTTTTTGTTTGTTTAGGTTTGTTTAAGACAGCAGACAGCTCTCACAGAACACGTTTCTGATTTAACTCTTCTGGTTTGAAGAGAGTAGGTGGCGTAACCCCAGTGGCTTGGTCAACCATTGATGGGTCAGGTGGGTGGGTAATTAAGAGGTTGATCTACTCTGTTGCGACACAAGTCCTGTTTCATCGGCCCCTGTCTCGACGTTAAGTAACCGTAATGAAGTCAATAAATCAAATTAACTTTATGAAGACCCACTACAGTTATGATTACCTTCTGTACAGCCATAGAGCTCCACCCTCATGCAAATGAAATCTTTCCACTGTAGTGGTCGAAAGCGTATCACACGTGCTCTTATTGGCGGACTAAGATTATTAGAAACCACAGTATTCTGGTCAGTATTCCCGGCAAATTCCTAAAAAAAATGAAGGTTCTGATGAGTTTTTGTTTCATTTATTTTTGCAGCATGTAGCAGCAGCTAGGAAGAGAAGTCACTAATGGTGCCTACCCTGACCCCAAACAATACTGAAATAATTGAAAGAATGACATGTCATTGTTTTATGCGACCAATCAGTAGAGACCTTACTAGTAGTTCCTTCACAACCGTTTTTGCATAGTGTTGCAAAACATAGTTATAATGTATTCGACGTTTCGTTAAATCGATTTATCCTTGTTGGAAAAAGTTTGGGAAAGAGGCTTTTAGGCAATAGAAAAGTGAAAAATAATGCTAAAATAGCTGTAATAAGTAATGGTAAGAATAATACTTGTACAAATTTTAGCCCTCGTCCTCATGCTTCAGCATCTCATAACATAGCGTTTTTGTGGGCTCAATGCACATGTACAACCAATTATAGTTACCTCTGCCTGCCCTTGTTCGTCCACACAAGTATAAAACGTGACTCCATCGTCACTGTATTGCAGATTGTACTTGGTAACCCAATGCGGGAGTTCTTGTTTTCCTTGTGTTGCCACACGAGTTATGTTATATTCGATGCCCAGATCAATTTGAAGCCATTGATTGACATCATTCGTTCCAGATGTCCATCCACCTGTGTGGTTTGGCCACGCATAAATAGAATCTAAGTGTAATCTGCCAAGGTACGGACTATGATATTCATCCCAAGACGAGGATGCAGTGATTTGATCGTCCGGTATTGTACCACTCTCCATTCCAAGAGGTTTTTCTCCATCTTAAAAACAGCCAAAATTTAGGGTTAATTAACAAGTACAAAATAAACGCTGCGGTAATTAATATCGCTGAGATATCATCGTGAAAAAGTTGAGCGAAGAAATACTAAGCCTTACCAAGCGCAAAGCAGTTGGTTTAAGATAACTTCAATTCATGGAGGGTCATCGTCACGTCTCACTCAAGCACTTTTAATTGCAAATTTTTAGGCTAGTTTTCCAGCGACATATCTGGGAGCTAGACGTCTTTAAGCGACGCACCTCAACTGGAAGTGAAATTTTTGCATTCTCGTGCATTGGTTTGGCCCAAACTTTCAGGTTAATGGTTCCCATAAGTGTTAAGACATTAATCAATACAAACCTGGTACTACCAAGGGATATAAAATTAAAGGACTGAATGGTCTTACTGGAGAAACTGCGACAGTGAACAAGACAAATGCGAATATACAGTCATCTACTGAAATACTCACATGCAGGGAGGGCATTTTTTCCTCAGCATGTGAAACAAGGAGTTTTGAAATTCAGATAAAAAATATGGGTAACGAACCCCACTCCCTCTGATTTATCAAGTTATTACCGTTCGTGATACCGTACAGTTCAACTCTCATGGATATGTGCGCATGCCAGGCCAGTGGCAGGATGATAATGTATCGAGCCCAGACTGGAGGTTTTAGTTGGTTTGAAACAACTGTGCTTGAATCTGAGTTCCCAGTAAATTCCTAAAATGACCAAAAAGCAAAAGACAATATCGCTAAGAGAGTAATTTCAACTAAAATAGTTTCTTATGTATATGAAATATATCATACAGAGGTTTTCGATATGAAATTAAATGAAGAGGTAAATGATAATCTTAGTTATGTACGTACGAATCACCGGCGCGATTCTTCAACCAGCTTAACTATAATTAAGCACACATTATACGGTCTTACATGTAGCTGCGTGCTAAACTTAAATAAAGGAATTTGTGGTTAGGGTTAGGGTATCAGAGGTCCACAATAAGTAAACCCTGTTCTCCCAGGCTCTATTTACTTTTGCAAGGAAAGTGTGTTCACCTTTATCTGTCCAAGTTCATTCGTATAGTTATAAAACATGACTCCATCCTCACTAAACTGCAGTTTGTACTTGCTAACCCACTGACTAATGTCCTCTCTTCCTTGTGTTGCTATACGTGAAACATTGTACTGACGCCCAACGTCGACTTGAAGCCACTGATTTAAATCATTATAGAGGGACGACCATGCTCCTATTCTACCTAAAGGAACCGGTTTTAAGTGTAGTCTGGCTAAAAAGGGTTCATGACTGCCGCTTAAGTAGCTCGATGCAGTTATTTGTCCATCAGCAATTAAACCATTTTCCATTCCGAGAGCTTTATCGCATTCTATTGCATTGACCAAAGAAAAACAAAATGACATTAAATTGGTTTTTGCCTGTTTGCATTAAGTGATTTTATACAGTTACAGTTGAAACTTAAGTCTGTGTTACGGCACATGAGATATACAAAGGGCAAGGTATAAATTTCACGTGCCAGTTTAGCAGGCCAATGAAAAAACTTTGCTGAAAGAGGTCAAGTTATTTAGGTGACTTCTGCGAAGATCACAGAGGCTACGTCACGCTAGTCGCTACCTTGAAACGGAGTTTCTTATCCCGCCGACAGTTGAACAAGGTCCAGCTCAAATCGGTCATTCTGAAATCATTCTGATTCTGAAATCAAGCCTATTTCCAGCGCCCGCAATCTCTGAGCATGGTTCGATACTAAGGAATCTCTCCATGAGCATTCATGTGAGCAAAGCTTGCAAAATGGTCTATATTCCATCAGACAGATCCGGAAGTATTTATCGGAAGATGCTACCAAAGTCCTGGTAAACGCCTTTGTGACATCTCCGCCGTCATCTCGACTACTGCAACTCCCTGTTCTATGGCATTCCAAAATACCAACATGATCGCTTGCAGCGGATTCTACACGCAGCTGCACACATTGTCTGCCTGTTATCCAGTCACATCACACTATAGTCCTTTTTTAATCGGTTACCAGTGCCCTACCGGATTCAATTTAAAAACCTGCTACCTGTCTACCTGAAGAAATTTCTAAGTTTTAAGGAGAGTGCTTCCTACCATTTACTGAGATCTAATACCACGTATGAATTAAATGTTCTAAAAACAAAGTGTAAGACCTTTGGCGACAGGGTCTTCGCTCGTGTTGGTCCCCCACTTTGGAACATTCTTCGTTCAGGTATAAGGAGTATCCGGGGCTCGAAAGTCGACCCGTTGTATTTCGTTTTACATTTGCCCAATGAGCCAATTCTTGTACAGTGATTGCGGTGTTGTACTTTCACTTTCTCTAAGTGTACTGTTTGTTAATATGTGTTAGTGTTTTTTTTTTTCAGTTGTTATTAGTGCTTATATGCCAGATATATGGTATATAGCTAAATCTTTTTTCGCATCTCAATTGAATTCCAAAAATAACAGTCCATTTTTGTTATTTATGACTATATTTAATTAAGTATTGAAATTTTTTTTCTGTAGTCTGTTTTAACGGATGGTAAGGATAGAAGTGGATTGACCCTTGAAAAAGTTGGCCCAACTTTCAAATTTTAATGCTATGCTTGCTGTGCCTGCAAAAATCACTAGTGTTCCCTAATAAAAACTGATGACTGACTAACTGATGAGAATGACTGACCTTCTGAGCAGACTAAAATCTTTAAATTAACATCAGTCTCTGTTCCTGTCTATATTAGTGAGCTCACTAGAACTTAATAACAGTGTAACATAGCTATTTCTCAATTTAGTTCTCGTACCGTAGCTAAATGAGTATTTACCACTTACTTAATGCTAGGCATTCTTATTAAAAAATAACTAACGTATTTGTGGCTATTTTTGCCACAGCTACATGTAGTTTACGCTCAATGAACCAATGTGTGGTCATTGAACTACTGGTGTGGCTATTGATCCGTTGTGTACTTATTGAACTGCTATGCGATTATTGAACTAACAGAAAAAAGTAAACAGTTTGTTTAATATCTTCTTCATAACTCAACAGTAGCATTTTGTTTAGGGTTAAAGGCACTGCAAGTAATGCGGACTTCAGCTTTTAATTTAGCCAAAACAGCAATATCCACGTAACGTAGCCTCTCTAAAACAGTGTACAATGGAAGCTCCATTTAACGAAGTGCCAAACGACTGACAAACACTGGACGAAAAAATGGATTTGCACAAATTTGGTCCTTAAAAATGAGTCGCAAAGAAGCCTAGAAATAATATATGTATTATAAATACTGAGGAGTAAACATGAGGCAAAGATGGTACAAACATACCATAAAACAGGGGGTGTAAATAACGGGGGAAATGTGGCATTTACCATGTTTGCCATATACTTACTTCTCAGTATTCATTTCTTTGCGACATATATTTGCAAGGAGCAAATTTGTGCAAATCCATTTTTTCGTCTTGTGGAAATATGTTGGGTGCGAAGAACTAGGTTTTGTTATATATCGAAGTACTATTCCATATATTTTCAATTACTGGGTCTTGGAATATCGTTCTTTATACCGATGACTTCCTTATATAGAGGTTCGCTGTATCGAGGTTCCACTGTATCAGGGAATAATGATTTTGTCTCTTGTCCCAAACTACAGTCACCTCAAAAGAGTAGACATGCTGTAAGTTAATGCATCATACATCGTACGGTATATATACTTATCAAGTCATCTTTTACCTTGCTCTCCATTTGATCGCACGTCCTAAAAAAATAATATATACACCTTATTCGATGGTTTAGCATATAATACGTGCGGATAATTTGGGAGTTGCGTGGTATTTTTCTGAGCCCCGCAGGGGCGAGGAAAAATACGAGCAATGAGCAAAATGTCCGCTCGTATTATATGCTAAACCATCGAATAAGAGGTCTATTATTCCACTACCAAAAAAAAAATTATTTGGCAATTGGCTTCTATTTTTTGGTAAGAGTATTCAGACACATCCTTATTCTGTCTGTGAGAATGACGTTAACAATTAGCAAAATGTTCGCGCGTATTATATGCCAAACCATTGAATGAGAGGTTAATTATTTTACTGCAAAAGAAAAATGGTATTTTGGCTTCTATTTTCTAATGAGAGTATCCAAAACATCCTAATTCTGTCAGCCACAGTTGCTCCTTTTGCATCCGCCGGTATTCGCCCTGTTAGAAACCGGTTAAACCAGGACACTACGGTGTATTATGGCCTCGTATTTTGCTCGTTCTCTTGACCTTATATGGTAAAATGACATAATGGTGGAATAATAATAACATTTATTATATAAACACCAATGAAATACCAAGTGAGCTTTCGCGCGAAAACTTGATATCTTCACATGTGAAAATAACATGTTATCTTCACATGTGAAAATATCACCATTGCTATGGCTTCATAATAAACCGCACCTTTCAGACCAAAGTATTACATGGTCGCTTGGAGATACGAAATTTCTCTTCTTGTGTTGAAAAAAATATTTCACTCGTTCGGTGCGCTCACCCGTAAATACTCGAAGAGAAATTTCGTATCTCCGCGCGGCCATGTAATATCCTCTATATCTGAAAAAGTAACAACAAGTCTGGCCAAAACTCTTGGGACACTAACGTAATAGCTCCTTAAATTTAAGCATCTTTCCTACCCCTCCCCCCCCCCTTCTCCCTTGTGCAGTGTTGACGTTATGCATTCAAGTTTTAATTCAACACAATCAACACTGCTGGGGGGAGAGGCGGACAGCAGAAATAGCACGTTATAACAACATCCCCAGGCTTTTTTAAGAGGTAGAATATGAGTTATTTTTTAGCAAAGTGCGTCTTTGTGCCTAATTCCCACAGGTGTCCCAAGACGTTTTGACCAGGGTTGTAGTTAATCTAGCTCTTAATCTAAGGAACACATAAGGAAATGGGGAAAAGGTTACAGATTTAACTCAAAGATGCCATTGAACAGTATAGTGTCACCTCTCGCCACAACCACTATCACTAGTCCTGGTCAAACCCGCGAAAAGCTACCGGAAAGAAAAAACGGCGTAAAAAAGGCACAGACACCGTCAACACTGACAGCGCTGAGGACGTTACGTTTTTTTTCCCATTGGAGTAGACAACGGACATCTTAGCCGTTTTAGCTGTTGTGGACTAAAGAACATTTTATATGGTGTTTTCAAATATCTCCGTTTTCGCAAATTTATGACACTTGAATGACCATTGTAATCATTGCATTGTAATCATTGTTTTTTTGTTTGTTTGTTTCCTTTATTTAACTGACTTATTATCCCTATTAATTATTAATACTAATTGTAACTTTATCTTAAAGCTTTTGCAATACTGTATCTTCAAATAGTCATGCAAATAAGCTTATGTTGTTGTTGTTGTATCCGTATTCAGTAGTGCGGACAGAGCCTTATAAGAAGGCCCGGTAAAGTGCATATGTTGCTTTGTTACTCCAACCCTACACCACTTACAGTTACCAATTCTCAGTGGTATTAATTATTTAGAAACAGTAGTTATTGGAGGCAAAACGTTAATCTAAACCGACCATCCTCTTTTATCCTTCACGCCCTCAAATAATTGTTTTATTTAAGTTCAGTGGTACCTATGCACCTTTATCCGTTATTTATTTACGAGGTGTATCATAGAATTGGAGCAAAATAAATGTGTGTCACACTTACCTCTCCCCGGGTTATGTGACGTTATTGATTCGATTGTTTCAGTGCTAGAACGCCACGGGCACTAAATATTATGTCCTTTATTAACTTTAGTATCTTTGCGAGAAATTATGTCAACCACTGCCATTTTCTTTACTTAATCACTAGTCTTTCACCAAGGAAATATACAGGAAGTAAAGTTAACTAATTTAATTGTTTTGCATGAAAAAAGAATACGTTTTAAGACTACCAATAGCTTGGCTTAGTTTGGCTTGGAAATGAGTGCATCAAGGCATGAGTAAAATATCAAGTCCATTATCAGCGATATGCGATAACTTTGTTTAAATTGCGTGGTTTAAGATGTGGCTTTTATTTTTTATTTATTTAATTTTTTTTAAGGACTAATAGCTCCTGATTCTTTTTTTCCTTTTTGCATCAGTTTCTTTTTTTCACAAACTTCATTTATTTATAAATAACAACCGTAACTAACGTGGTTGTGTTTTCTTCCCTTTGCGGGGAAAGAGAATTTGTAGTTCGTTTAACGAGATTGGGATAAGTTTCACAACGTAATCACTAATCTCGAAATTTCGCAGTTTGACTATGCTTGCTAACAATTGTTTACACTGTTTATCGTGTCATGAAACTATCTTGGGTCTCATAGTTTACTTACCAGAAATGCGAAAAATAGCCAGAACGTCTTTGCTATCGTCTTCATCATCATTGCTTTTACCAACGTATGTTGAACATAAAAAAATCGTCCTATTGGTCTGTTGAAGTTTTAAATTTTGCACTTGAATCAAGTTTCCAATAACGCTTTCACACTATAAACATTGTAAATAGTTTCCATTTCCTCATTTAATTCCCCGAAAAAGGACGGCTTGACCGTCGAAATATCGGAAAAAATCAAGCAGCTTTTGTCTTTAACTTTTTTTTGTTACTATAAGCTGATTTCATAATTAAAACAGCTGGATGTCGTCATAATGTTAAGGTTTAAATGTTTTGAAGAAGGAAATTTTATATAGAGGTAAGCATCTGTGGAAATATTGAATGAAGAATAAAACAATTATTGAAATCTTCATATCAGGCTGAACCTCATCTAGTGGTTTTTAAATGTTGATATTTGTCAAGTTCGCAATCCTTAAGAGGCAGAGGAGTACAGTACTTTAATAATTCATTATATTTTAGCGTCATGCGTCGGCGTTTAGAGATAAACAAAATTAACGTTGTCTTACTCTTTAGAGTTAAGAGGAGAAAATTTCTCCACTAAGTAGCCATAAGAACATGCCGTAAAAGAAATAAACCAGACAGGCAAAACGAAAGCTGAAGTACCACTGATTTTTAAAACTATTGGATTTTTCCATATGCTAATATTATAGGCGCGTTACAAAGGAACATTGTATTTGATATCCACCTTATTTTGATACACGTATGGCTCTTTCCAGCAAGTTGGATACTAAAAGCGGCAGATCCAAGGTGGCAATTTAAATTAATGACGTCATCCTTTTAAGACCCGTCGAGACTCTTTGTCCGTTTTTGTTTTTGTTTTTTTTCTCTCATGCTTAACTTGAGCAACATCTCCCTACTATATTAAGATCAAAAGCTTAAAAAAAGACGGAAATTAAAGCTCAAAAGTTATGAAGTCAAAAATTTCTACTCTCCCCTTCCCCGCTCCATTCGTGCTGGGAAGGGGTGTAAGTGGAGGAGTGGGGATGACGAAAAGAACTAAATAGTGTTTTTCTTGTATGTCATGTTACTGATAAAGATATCGA